GGCATGTAGTTTATGACTCCAAATTCATCCTCCCATCTTGTGTTCTGAAATTTTATCATTCTGGGTCATATCTTTGGTCAACTCTCATAAGAAAGCTCTGCAAGTGGCATACTTGATAAAGCAATCTAAATAAGCAATGTATTCTAGAGGAAAATGCATATTGCAAACCTGAAATACCAGATATTATAAGTTGAGACCTACAGGTCTCTCAAAGAACGGCACTGGTCTTCTTTGGTAAGACACTTATGCATATTAAACAGTTTTACCACCTGGTTTCTTAATAACAACACCCTTTATAGGCTCTTGTGTGGGATTTTTGCATGTTGACCTTTCCAAAAGATAGGGTAATTTTTTAAATTAACTCAAAAAAACAAAAGCACGTGGGGTACACTAAAACGTATAATTTTAAAAAAGCCAATTTCAATAAGATTATTATTATTTTAATATTTATATAGCGCCAACAAATTCCGTAACGCTGTACAATGGGTGGACTAACAGACACATAATTGAGATCAGACCACTGGACGTACAGGAACAAAGGGGGTTGAGGGCCCTGCTCGATGAGCTTACATGCTAGAGGGAGTGGGGTATAGTGACACAAAGGGTTAAAGTAGGGGAATTACATAGTTTGTTAGAGAAGGGTTTATTGAGTGCTTGGTAGGTCATTTTTGACACTTGCAGGAAAGGAGTCATGGGGTGGGGGATGAGAAACCTGCTGACAGTTTAATTGATACGCTTTAATGAAGAAGTAAGTTTTCAAAGATTTTTTGAAGGAGTGAAGGCTGGGTGAAAGTCTGATTGAGGAGGGAAGGGAGTTCCACAGAATAGGTGCAGCCCTGGAGAAGTCTTGAAGGCTGGGGCTCAGGGCAGAGGATAGGAATAGATCTTGGGCTGAGCGCAGGGGTCTCGACGGGACATACTTGTGTATGAGGGAGGATAGGTATGTTGGAGCAGCATTATGTAGGGATTTGTAAGCAAGCGACAGAATTTTGAATTGGGCCCTATATCTTACTGGAAGAGCGTGGAGGCGTGGGAGATGCGACCGGACAGGAAAATAAGCCTCGCAGCAGCATTCATTATAGATTGCAGCGGTGAAAGCTGGGAACATGTAAGACTGGTGAGAAGGGGATTGCAGTAGTCAAGGCGAGAGAGAACAACAGCATGAACCAGTACCTTTGCCGCGTCAGGCGTTAGACATGGGCGGATGCGCGCTATGTTCTTGAGTTGGAAGCAACAGGATTTGGCTATTGATTGGACATGGGGAGTAAAAGAGAGATCAGAATCAAAAAGAACCCCTAGGCAGCGAGCCTGCGAGGTAGAGGTGATAGTAGCACTGTTGACTTGGATGGAGAAAGACACAGTAGTAGCAGCACTTGAGGGAGGAAAAACTAGAATTTCTGTTTTGGACAGGTTGAGTTTAACGAAGTGAGCAGCCATCCAAATAGCAGAGAGGCAGTCAGAAACACGAGTCAAGGTGGGAGGAGAGAGATCAGGGGAGGACAGGTAGATTTGCGTGTCATCTGCAAGTAAATGATATTGGAAGCCAAAGGAGCTGATGAGTTTACCAAGGGAGGCAGTATAGATAGAGAACAGTAGGGGGCCGAGGAGAGAACCTTGGGGGACATCCAGACAAAGGGGTTGGGGAGAAGAGGCAGAGCCAGAGAAAGAAACACTGAAAGAGCGCTGGGAGAGGTAGGAGGAGCACCAGGAGAGCGCAGTATCCCGTAGACCAAAGTTACGGAGAATGTGAAAAAGCTGTTGATGATCAACAGTGTCAAAGGCGGCAGAAAGATCAAGGAGGATTAGGATAGAGTATTAGGGCAGCTCTACAACATATCGACTGGCATAAACTCCTTAGTCATAAAAACACTGAGGATAAATGGAAACTATTCAAACAAATATTAGAAAGGTACATTTCTCAGTATGTACCATTGGGTAATAAATATAAAAGAAACAAATTAAAATCAATGTGGCTTAGTAGAGAAGTAAAACAAGTGATTAAAAATAAGAAAATGCCTTTTTAAGCATTTAAATTGGACAAAAGAGGCATCCTATATAAGATATAAGGAAGCCAATAACACTTGCAAAAAGGCAATTAAAGTGGCTAAACTAGAAAATAATAAATTGATAGCCAAAGAATGCAAATCCAAGTACATGAATTCTAAAAAAACAAAAAATGAAAGTGTAGGTACATTGGAAACAGAGTTGGGTTTGTTAGCTAATGAAGACCAGGAAAAACATTTTTTTTAACTAACTATTTTTCTTCTGTATATATTAATGAGGATCCTATGGCAAGAGATATGAAAATGATTGCTGCAAAAAACTTGCAGATAACTTGTGATTGGATAACTCGAGACAAGGTGCTACAGCTATTAAAGAAAATTAATGTAAATAAAGCTACAGGGCCTGATGGTATTCACCCACGAGTACTTAAGGAGCTAAGTGGGGAAATAAGTGAATCTCTGTATTTCATTTTTCAAGATTCTTTTCTTTCAGGTATTGTACCAGAGGATTGAAGGAAGGCAGGTGTTGTTCCTATATTTAAAAATGGTTCAAAATCCTTGCCTGGAAACTATAGACCTGTAAGCTTAACTTCTGTAACTGGGAAAATATTTTAAGGGCTATTAAGGGATAGTATTCAGGAATTCATTGGGAAAAACTTTGTTATTAGCAATTATCAGCATGGTTTTATGAAACATAGGTCATGTCAAATTAACCTAATTGCATTCTACAAAGAAGTAAGTAGAAGTATAGATCAGGGTGTTGCAGTGGATGTGATCTACTTGGAGTTTGCCAAGGCATTTGATACAGTTCCTCACAAAAGGTTAGTCTTCAAACTAAAAGAAATTGGTCTAGATGAATCTTCTTGTTCTTGGGTAGAACATTGGCTTAAGGACAGAGTACAATGAGTTGTCATTAATGATAAATTTTCAGGCTGGACAAAAGTGGTAAGTGGTGTCCCTCAGGGTTCTGTTTTGGGACCGCTTCTATTTAACATATTTATAAATGATCTTGCAATAGGCATTGAAAGCCACGAATAAGTGTTTGCAGATGACACAAAACTTTGTAAAGTAATAAAATGTGAGCAGGATATTGCTTTGCTACAGAGGGATTTGGATAGATTGAGGGACTGGGCACTAAAATGGCAGATGAAATTTAATGTAGAGAAATGCAAAGTTATGCACTTCGGGGATAAGAATGCACGATCAATTTACACCCTAAATGGTAGTGAACTAGGGATAACCACACACAAGAAGGATTTTTGAATTTGTATATACAACAAATTAGGCAGCAATATGCAATGTCAATCTGCAGTTGCTAAGGCCAGTAAGGTTTTGTCATGTATAAATAGGGGCATAAATTCTTGGGATGAAAATATAATTTTGCCTCTTTATAAATTGCTGGTATGACCACACCTTGAATATGCTGTGCAATTTTGGGCACCTGTTCTAAAGAAAGATATAATGGCAGTAGAAAAAGTGCAGAGTCGAGCTACAAAATTGATAAAAGGAATGGAGCATTTTAGTTATGAAGAAAGGTTAAAAAAATTAAATCTGTTTAGTTTGGAAAAACGGCATCTGAGAGGGGATATAATAACATTATACAAATATATTCGGGGCCAGTACAAACCTTTAACTGGAAATCTATTCATAAACATGGCTATACATAGGACACAAGGTCACACATTTTGGCTGGAAGAAAGGAGATTTCATCTAAGACAAAGAAAAGTTTTTTTAACAGTAAGAGCAATAAGGATATGGAATTCTCTGCCTGAAGAGGTGGTTTTGTCAGAGTCATTACAGATGTTTAAACTGCAATTGGATCAATACTTACAAAAACATAACATACAGGGATACAGTTTCTAATTAGTGATGTAAGAGTTGCTTGATCCAAGGAGACATCTGACTGCTATTTTGGGGTCAAGAAGGAATTTTTTCCTAGTTTGTTGCAAAATTGGAAGTGCTTCAGACTAGGTTTTTTGCCTTCTTTTGGATCAACAGCAAAAACATATGTGAGGAAGGCTGAACTTGATGGATGCAAGTCTCTTTTCAGCTATGTAACTATGTATATTGATTTTGAATCAAAGTATTTAAATAGCCTACCTCAGACCCTCCTATGTTTTAGTTTATTTTTCGATTACTCTGCAGTTAATATTTACATTTTATTGTATGGTCATTGAATATAATCAGTATAAAAATGCCAACATTCACAATTAACCCTATTCAATTATACTATTAATTTATTTTCATTCAGCTGCACATTTGGTGAAGGTCTAGAGAATACTATTGTAAAGTGTACCTACTCTTTAATAGGGGACCGTTTAAATTTAATTTTCAGGGTGGAGCCTGACCTCCAAGCAAGTGGCATGCCAGAGCTCCCGACTAACTGGTTGAAATAAACCCTTACACCCGGCAAAAAACAACTAATACACAAGCCTAACAGTATCAGCAGGACGGGGAACCCAGACAAGCAGACCGATACCAGACTCGGGTGTTTATTTTGTCGAGTACCTGGGAACCCTGCTACCCGGTAGCGGAGCTGAGTGGAAGCGGCCAATTTTCTCGTGCTCTTGTGACGAAGCCAGTGGCACTCCTACGCCCCCCCTCCTGTGGACCAGTGGGGGTCATCCCGGTCCCTCTTAAGTGACTCAAAGACTTGCCCAAACCAACTTCTCCAGGCCACGTTGCCTCGATTGGTGATCCAAAATGGCAGAGCTCTGCCCCTTGCAGCCACATAACAAGGACCTCAAGTGAAAAGCAATGCATGACTCCACAGCAGATTCCCTGAGGAGACTTGATGATGATGACTCTTCCAAAACTTCTGACAGACTCTGCAGTGCAGACCCTCCACCACCACCGTTTACAAAGTACAAGGGGAGAGGGAAGCCTGGCAACGGCAGGTGAGGGTGCCTACTACAAGAACCACACAGAGTGGAAAACCCGCCCGTCCCCAGCGCATACAGATGTGAGGCCTAGTGCACGCCGCCTACCCAAGTCGAGAGCGGCGGAGGCTGTACATCGAAAGCTCCAAGCAAGGAAACGCCGGGGGGCAAGACGGCACACGAGACCCGAACAACCAACCCATAAAGCCCACCATCGTATCCCACTAGGGACAAGCATAAACCCTGCCAGATCACAGATCTCTGTGAAACCAGAACCTACTAGCCTGCAAATCTTGAGCCGGGACAGCTCCTTCTCTATGCTCCGCATTGTATGCACTCCCAAGACCAACATGAGGTGTGTGGGGAGGGAAGCAAGACAGAAAGGATAGCAATTTATCTCAGGGAATCTACAGCTGATGCTATTGGCACTGGACCAGATACCTGGAGATCTCGGCTGGCACTGCATCGTATCCATGACTGGAGTAGGCTGACCGCATGGCTGAAATTCTTAGTGTTAAGTCAATACACTGCCTATGGATCTCTGTAGCTAACAATCCACCATTAGTGTCTGTTTATTAATATCCTCTAGTTAAGCAAAACGGACTGTCTGTTGTAATGCAGGATAAGCCTGGGGTGGTATACATTCTTAAAGTTTCCTTCATGTAGATCTAGCCTGACTACATCATCGTTATTTTTTCATGTATTCCCAGCCTGTTTATATAAGTCTACTCAGGCATACCTCACTCGACTATCTTCATATAAAAATCTTGTGCTGTTTCTCTCAAATGCCATGACATCTTACAAACATCAACACACGATTATATACATGTCTCTGTTCATACTTTTATTACCTCAATAGTTTACCCCCCAAATAATGCAATGTAGTCTCACTCCCCTGATGTGATAAATTTTACAGGGGTTTATTGGCAGTACATTCCCTGAGTTTAACTGTTGAGATGGTTAAGCACAATGTCATATTCAGACAGAACCAAGGGTGAATATCAAGTCCTCAGCCACCCCCACGCCAGGTGGGTTTGACCACCCGAGTAATCTCCAACTTGTAATACTTACAGCTCAAATCACACAAAAGTTTAGTCTGGTTCACTTCAGTGGTATCCCTGAGTATATGGCAACGCACAAGCAATTAGGGCTGGCCCACCTGCCTCGCCAAATATAGCTCAATGCTAAGCATCTTGTTTTCTTTTGTTGGTTTTCTCATATTTACTCCATACAATCTCTGCCAGAGTATAGATCGCGCCTGTTTGTCAGATAATTTTGTAAGTTAAATCTCTAGGCACTGTGTAATATGTTTTTTGTTCTTAGTTTCTTTTACCTAAAAAAAAATGCAGTACTATCGACATGTACAATATGCTATTTGTTGACAATTTGAAATGTTATATTCAAATATGTCCTGTCTATATGTTAAATTGACAATGCACTACAAAAATAAGGAATTTAAAAAAAAATAATACATTTAGAACAGCCGAGTCACCGTCAATAGAGCCAGTATACATGTGCGGTGGAAACCTGAAAAATAAAACAACAATGCTGTACAGGTCTATTTAAATATGTTGCATCATATTCTGGGAGATCTTGAAAAAATGTCTTTGCCCATATAAGGTAATACTTAAATCATTGGAGAATTTAATTACACATTAGACATTCATTTTGTTCCAGACTGCAATTCGTCCGAACTGATCATTGTGTAATCAACCAACAACAAGCAATTCACACAATGCCTGAACATGCTCATTTTCAGTCATCATTCAAAGTGCCATTAATAGCAAAAAAAAGGGAAATGGAGGACAAGTAGTTTTATTTTTATTTTTTGGTAGTAGCAAATAAGAAGCTTAATTTAACATGATTATTAAAAGGCCTGCCCAGTCATGTGAGCAGGAACTCCTGTCAAATCAAGAGATGTAAATGTTTATTGCATTCACAGATAAAGTGACAACTGACCAATACAGAGGAAAAAGGGAAGAACAGTAAAACAATCTAGAATTCCAAGCAGGAGTTTTCAAGACACTTTGACTGTAACTGTTGAGGAAGATGTAAATATGATTTACATTAGCTGGGCCTGTTTGGAAAGGGAAGATAGCCCAGGTCACTGATTCTAGCATGAGGTCACTGATTCAAGTATGAGACTAGATTTACCCCACTGCTGTATTTGGGAAGAGGTACACTAGGGATCAGAACATGGGAGAGGTCCTTAAAATCCTGAAGATATGTAGTAGAGGGAGGAAGAGAAAAAAAAATATATATAGTGTAGTACATCAAGAACTTCAGTTTGGAAAGAAAAAAGAAAATACACTTACACTGTAAGGAGCTAACTCTTAGCTCCACTTGTAGCGATTGGGCATATAAGTCTTTTTTTCTTTTATCTTGGTCTAACACAGTAGATGTACAGCATAAAATGAAATAAAACATCAAAATAGTATAGTGTGTTAAAAGATCAAATTAGATGGTAAATATAATACAATTACACACACATAAAGGGGCCTCCAGTTAACTGCTTTTTTTGTAGTGCTTGAAGTGGAATTATCCCCACTCTAGGATATATGTTCAAGAATCTTTCTCTGATACAAGTAGATAAGATTCTCTCCATAGATATAAAACAGGAAATAAAATATGGTGCTCACTGTATATAAAAAAAATTGTTAAAACAATAGGAAAAGTACTCACATTTTTAAAAC